TCAAGAATTATACATTGGTATTACGCTTCCAATTAGAATGAAGAAATGTGGTGTTGAGTTTGAGTAAAGGCGACTTGTAGGCGAAAATAATACCAACACCGACCATGCTCATCTTGCGGCCTGACATTACCTCATTTATATTGCTGCAAGGTCGTGGCACTAATTGTTATGTTCAATGATTGCATTTATTTGTAATGGGAGAAGTATGAATTGACATAAATTTAAAAAAATAAAAACTCTTTTGGATTGTTGTCTCGTCATAACTAAAAAGATTTGGGCAAACATAGCGACCACCGTTCTGAATATAAATACCAGCGAATGAGAAGAAAGAAGGATAAGTTACAGTTAATAAACCAGGGATAAGCTTATACTAATTACGTCGTATTTTGTTCATATCACTCGAATGCCATATGTCATTCAATGAACAGAGATAAAACATGGAGTCCAAGCTTATTCTTCGTTCATTACTAATGCCTGCTACACATGTAACGATTTATCGTAACGATTAAACTGTGCAGATCGACTTGCGCAGATTTATCGAACGTGTGTATGACAAATCGTTGTCGATTATCGTTCGTCGGTGGCAGTTGCAATTTTTATTAGATAAATCGTTGTCGATTGCGTTTGCACAGTTTTATCGTCGCGTGTGGATGGCGATCGCTCAGTTCGGCTGTAGGCTCGCAAGTGTGCGCACGTGCGGATCGCTCTTATATCGCAACATGTCTGAAGGAGAAAGAGGCGGATACCATGAACTAATGCAAGATTTCATACAGAGCTATAGAAGTGAAACTTGCCTTTGGATGACCACATCTAAAGATTACCATGATCGCGAGTATCTCATTCGTAACTCGAACGAATACGACACTACGATACTACGAACGAGACACACCAACTCCGAATCGTTCTGACAGCGACCGCGACATACTAAACTATTCTGACAACGAACGAGACACACCGACCCCGAACCGTTCTACACCTACACCAATCTCGAGTCGTCATATCATCAGTCGTACAGAGCATGTGACATGTCTCAGGAATGATTTGACTAAGAGCTTGCGGTGATATTATTGTAGAAAACTTCATAAATTCGTAGCAACGACCTGTAACTAAAAATCGTAGTGTAGCAGATAATCTCTCATGAGGACTTATTGCTTCTCTCATTACAGTGTCTTGTTTCTGTATTAGTGGAGAAACTAAGGCCAGCAAGCAGATTTAAGTATGCTTCCTCATTTATTCTCAAGTAATTATGCCAATCTTTCGAGGCGAAATGTTGATATGAGAAAAATTGCTTCCTTTTCATGAGCCAGTCTACACCACACACTCCGTTCCTTTTTTTTCTTTAAACACATAACTAGGCCTAATATCGCAAGTGCGTCATAATCTTCCATCGTGGATGACATGTTTCTTGCGTGAGCTTCTGCGGAGAACAGACCGAACAGACAATCGACGCCGATATCGAAGGCGTGTGGAGTCACTAGGAACGTTCGATTTATCTGCACAGTCTGAAATCGCTACGATATATCGTTACGTGTGTACCGACCATAAGGGGGTTATTGTCTAACTTCTTTTTCAATACATATGGTGTTATCTTTCCTACAATTTGGCATTGAAATATTTGCGAACTTCAACGACGATCTGAGTTCGAATTTCACCTAAGAAATTTTAATTATTACACTTTCAAATTTAACTCTTGAAGTAGTACGTAGAATACATGTTTGAAAGGAATTACTTCAATGTGTTTTAATGTCACATAATTCGCAATAGGAATAGAAATATGTCCTGTACTACATTCTACTGGTTCCACGCAATGATGCAAAGAATTGTAAAAATGAAATAATAGCGAAACATTCGCCCTTATTCCAAAACGCGGACTAAAGTTAGTCTTGGTAAAACCTAATGCTGTCTCTCTTCTTTTAGCAAACAAATTGACAGCATCAGTTTTAGTCCATGTTTAACTTCAGTCTACGTTTTGTAATAAGGCAGATTTTGTTTATTTGGTCGTCATTAGGTCAGCGAGATGGTTCGCGCGTGCGGGCCGCGCATCCGCTCGCTGTGGCGGTTTGTGCGCGTAGGACGGCGGCCCGCCGGCGTCGCCAAGCCCGCCGACGTCAACTCGCTCGTATGCGAGGACGAGGAGGAGTGCTACATCTCCATTGAGTACAGGGTACGTATTATGTCGGCACTTTCTTGGCTATCCGTGTTTGCTATTTGTAAACTTGAAAAGGGCAGCCTGATAGCAAGTTTTCAACACGAATAGTTAAGAAAAGTGCCGGCATTAGACGTCTATGTTTGTATAACCAATACAAGTATTTGTAAGTTACCTAAGGCCTAGTCAAATTGTCATTTACGCTGTACATGCCCCATTAGATGTGGATAAATCGCTTTATTCATGCTAAGGAGTTGATGTGATTTATGAGGTCATCCCTCCATATTTTCATAGAGGACTCATACCTCCAACCATACCACATTTGGTATCATTTATGGGTTTATGATGTTGATATAATAGTCCCGAGTTCAATCGCCGAAATAATTTCACCCTTTTCAGTATCTTGCTAGTTTAGCAAGTTTCCTTATTTGTATAGGTATTCCCTTACCCAGATCCTGTGTTTTATCGTACCATTCGTTTGTTCAGATACACCACGATCGCATAACGTTCTCGCTGCACGAGCCGTCACGTGGGCAGACATTCAAGAGTGCTCTCAAACGCGAGACTGGCGAGGACGAGTCCCCCAAGACTACGGATAGGCCTCGCACCACGCGTCACTCCCATCAACATCAACGCGACGACGACACCAGAAACAAGATCAGGGTGCGACCACGCAAGCCCACCGATGGGAAGGGCGTATTGAAGGAACGCAACGAATCGTCTGGCTTCAACAGCAGACGCGTCGTCAAAAACAAGATCAAAATCCGCGAGGACGTATCCGAGGATTTATCCGAGTAGAGGGAATATATGCGACAAGGTGTTACTGTTTACCCTTATATACATAAATAATCATCAAACATTTTCTATATATGGTAATAGGTAACATAATCGCCGTTACTTTGTTGTGCCTTTGTCGATGACGCAAAGTCGCATGCACTGAAACACGCGACTTTCGCCGCCGACTTTGAGACGCTACTGCGACGCAAAAGAGACAGTGGTCTAATCGTTAGCTTTCTCTTTTCTCGCTCGCCGTACTGTATTTGTAATAAGGGATCAGGGAATATAACATTAAGTACAATAATTTATCTTTTTGTTTGAGCCGATTCACGTCTATGTCGTAGTGAACACGGCTTCAGCTCACGTATGTAATAAAGATTAATTTAATAACTTTCACACATATAAGTTTAATTTTTATACATACTTCTGACTTAATCGTAGACTATGAAATAGTCGAAAGTCTCATGAAACTTCCTTGTAACTCTGTTCGCGGAAAGGCAATCGCTTACAAAAGGCAAAGCAAAAAAACTGCGTCACATAAAAAGGAAGCCGTCATTTGCCGGATTAACAGGCCTAGCATCGTTACTCCAGCCAGTAATAGAAAAGCCAGTAGGAGCTCATTCCTGTGAATAGAGCATTAGTAGGGGAGCCCAAGCGAAGATTTTGGGATTCACACGAACGCGGCAGAATAAGATAAGTGGGGAACCTTGCACCTTCAGAAATACTCCCACCATACCTGAGTCCTTCTTTTATGTAGATCCGAACGTCTAGGGTAACAAAAGCAAAAGTGGTTCTTGATAAAAAATCTGTACTGATTCGGTACAGAAACGAAAACGAACCGATGTGGAAGACGATAAATAATTGGAAACAATGATATGCAAAGAGGTAAATTGGAAGAATTTATCGTGCCAATGATATGTTTATCGAGTCCCCCGAAGTTAGGTTTTTTTATTCATTCCTAAAGAATGGTGCAGAAACCGATAATGGTAGTGACATGACAACTTTAAGTCTTACAGTGTTGTTTAATGCTAATTAAAGACAAAAGTATCGAATTATCTCCATGAAGCTGGTGGTTAGCGCATTCGGCCTGCGATTGTGAAAGTTAAGCAACTTTGGCAATGGTTAGTCATTGGATGGGTGCTCACAAACTTATTCTCTCGAGCCCTTACTCTTGTGCTACGGAAGGCAAGTTAAGCTATTGGTACCAGCTGCATCTGCAGTCGTTAGCACCCACCAATACGCACTGGGCCCGCGTAGTTGATCACGGCCCTGTCTCCCTATACCATCCATATGGAAGGCCTGTGCCCCAGCAGTGATATATATATAGTATACAATAATGGCTCGTGCTAAGGGTACAGTATATCCTTAATAAGATTTATAGGGAATGAGTAGAGACCGCTGTCAAATTTACAAATGGCCATGTGAAATTCTAACAAAATTGCCAGTCAGTAAAATCTCAACGGGAACAGCTACGAGTATATTACATGGACACAAATAGATATGTAGTTCGATATATAACGCCGGCACTTAACTTGGCTATTCGTGTTTTCTTGATATCAGTAAGTCCTTTTCATTCCTTATAGAGCATGAGACGTTTTCAAGTATCAAATGCGAATAGGTAAGTGAAGTGCCGGCATAAAGAAGAACCGAAGTGAAGCCCAAGCACGAATTTTGACAATTCCGTGATTACTGTACCGTTAGCGCGAACTAATATCGAATTCGTAACGTTTGCGAGTCCGAAATGGCATTGTTAAATGTGTACTGATTTTTAGTTCTCGTTGCGTACTTAGTGGCGCTGCTGTTCAAGTTTCCATACAAAATTTTGCCATTGACATTTCGTACTCGCGAACTATTCGACTTCGATAATGGTTCGTGCTAGGTGTACGGCTCTTGAAATTACGATGCGATTGTATCGTAATTTTTGTTAGGAAAAACCTAGTTAGTTCTTACGTCCGCTAGGGGCGCTGCTTAATTTTCGTAGAAACTTTGAAGATGCAATTCGATTACGGAGCTGAAAAACTCGTGCTTTGGCCTCTGAGCAGGTTCATGCAAATAATAGCAAATAACAAGTCAATAAGGTATATAAAATATGTGTATAATTACTAAGTTTCGCTTAAAATATATATTTATTATATTGTATATAATAGAAACTATTTGTGTTTCTTAAACTTCATTTTGGGTTGCCGGCGCGCCTTCTGCGAGTCGTCGTAGAACTTTCTGTAGTTCGCGTTTTTATATATGGTATGCTCGGTTTTGGGGAGAACGGGCGCGGGGGTAGGAGTCGCTGCGGGTGTAGGTTTCTCCCCTGACATTTTCCTCTTCCTGTGCGCCTTTTTCTTGGTCGCCGGCTCGTCTTCAATCACAATCACATCCTTCTCCTTTTCGTTTTCGATCTTAGTCTTGGCCTGCTGCAGTTTGAGCAGTACCTCTGTCTTGATGAGCTCGTCGCCTCTGCCCAACGCCGCGATCTTCGCTTCCTTGTCTTTGTACTCTTTGATTTCCTCGATCTGTGGATGGTATTTTTTTATTATTTACCAATGAGGGTTTTCTAGAATTATGAGCACCAGGTAGCAGAGCTGTACCCCTAGCACGAACCATTATCGAATTCGAATAGTTTGCACACCGAAATGTCAATGTCAAATTTTGTTTGGAAACTTGCACAGCAGCGGCACAAAGTACGTAACGAGAACTAAAGATCAGTACCAATTTGACAATGACATTTCAGACTCGTAAACGTTACGAATCCGATATTGGTTCGTGCTAGGGGTACTGAAACGAAAAGTCTACTTGTCTGATTAGTCTATGGATCAATTTAAATGCTCGTTCGATTAGTTCGCGCCAGCAACTTCATACAAAAGGCTTCACGTCACAATGGTTTGCGTTTGCGCTGCGTGTATGACAGCGTTTTTGTACTTGTACAAAAGAAGTACGTGTAGTGGCTGTTACTATACTAGAACCGTAATGAACTACTGTCAATATGTCAATGAAGTCATGGGACGATAGTTGGGAGATAGTTTATTAGACGTCAATACGAATGCCTTTGATGCACTGTTAAAAAATGTGCGTATAACATTTGGTAGGGCATTATTGAGTAATCAATTTAGAGTGCATCAATAAAGTAGCAAAATTAATAAAACATTATTGGCTTGCACAGTGCGATAGTTCCAATTTTTTATTATATTATATTTAACAAAAAAAAAATAGTTACCTATTATGATTCTATAGACTTTGTCTGAACAAAATCTTTACTAGAAATAAATCTACTTAGTCTAGATACCTGTATGGGATTGAACCAGTACCCTTTGCTATCTAGCGAATACCGCTACCAATAACGCAACCGTGATCTTAGTTTTAAATAAAAAGTCAAATTAAAAAACTTAACATATTTAAAGCGCTCTCAGAACAATACAAATATAATACAAGTAAGTAATATTTACCTGCGCCAGCGCACGATATTTTCTGTACCTATCGAAGGGTGGTATGAACAGCTTCGCTTCTGCATTCAGATCGGACACCTACAACAAATTATACTATTTTGTATTGAGTGCCATCAAAATTGATTTAATTGTATCGAGTTCATTAATAAGCACACATAAAAACATCGTTACTAATATTTTAAATGGGAAAGTGTCTGTCTGCTTGTTACGTCTACACGCGTAAACCGCTGAGCCGATTTCTTTGAAATTTGGTACAGACATATTTTGGGTCCCGGGAAAGGACGTTGGATGGTTATTATCCCAGAAATCATCCTTTAAGGGAATGAGAAGGGGGTCTAAGTTTGTATGGGATATCAGACAAACCACGTAGACGAAGTCGCGGGCACCTATTAGTAGGTATACTAGCAAACCAGTGAACCAAATGTTCACCAAAACCTGATTTAAAAAAAAATGTATTTAATTAATTGAGAACTTCGGAGATTTTGTGTGGTTTCGTTTGAAATTTGTGATTTCTCGAAAACCGGAAGTGCTACGTTACTCAAATCCGGTTTGTAGTCTTATCAGACTATTCTTAACTTATAACTTAAACATTCTCTTTATCTATCTCTTACGGTTTGGCCGCTGAAACAGCACCACAGACAGACAGACGGACGGACGGACGGACGGACTTGTCCAATAGATAAGAGATCATGTATTAATAATAATAATAATACTTTATTTCTTCTCCTCACAATCCCATGCACAAGAAATACAAACTTATTGAATTAAGTAATGTCTTAGTGACAAGATTGTGGAGAGACTGGTATCTTAACTAGGCCGCAGCCTGTATCTCAGAAGACCAGTATTCTCCCCTCTTTACAGTGGTACATAATAACAAAATTACATGTTTTGAAAAAATAAAATAACTGTATCTTAACAATGTTGAAGAGAACTATAACATCAGAATGTAATGATTTAAATTAATGGGTAGGTTAAAATATAATGTTTAGGTAATTGAAATAATGAGCATTGCTGAGAGTATGTGTGTGTATGTATGTGTTTGTGTGTGTGTTTGTATGTATGTGTGTGTGTGTTTGTATGTATGTGTGTGTGTGTGTATGTATGTGTGTGTGTGTGTGTGTGTGTGTGGTAAAGTGTGTCATGTGCAAGGATGTAGAAGATCTTCAGTCTCGTTATATTTTAACATATATAAAAAATTAAATATTTCTTTTTTACATTTGTATTTGGTTAATTGCAATATGTTAATTTTTTTCTGTAATCTAATATATAAAATTCTCGTGTCGCGGTGTTTGTGGTTAAACTCCTCCGAAACGGCTTTCTCTCTTGAATTCTTGATTCTCATGAAATTTTGTGTGCATATTGGGTAGGTCTGAGAATCGGACAACATCTATTTTTCATCCCCCTAAATGTAATCCAACCCTAATTTCTTTTTTCAATTTCAGATATTTTTTTTATTTTTTTTTATGATACATCATACAAAAATACATACAACCCTAAATTTTCACCCTTCTACCACCAACCCCTATTTTTTTATGGCGGTACGAAGTTCGCTGGGACAGCTAGTAAGGTATATAAATGTGGACCGAGAAAATAGAAGAAACGCTTAGCAAAGGCAAACTTGCGCTGTGAGCATGGAACCACAAGACGATTTCGACGTGATATTAGCCTGGGATCGGTATAAGAATGTTGTTTTAGAATAGTATGCATTACTAATAATTGACGAACAGTCAGCACCTCGCAGTACTGATATAGATCATACGTGGGGTGTAGAATTGGCTTAAGAGTACAAACTTTTAAAACTGCCCTTTGAGCTCTTTCAAGAGTCAATAAGATAGTTTTATATGTGCCCCCCATGAGGTAACACAGTAGGTCAGAATGGATTCACAGAGTGCCTTGTAGATGTTTTTGACAAGGTTAGAATCTGCTACATGCCGAATGTTTTTAAAAATATGCATGAACTTTCGAATCCTTGCAGCTGTTAAATCTATGTGGGGCTGAAACGTTAGTCTAGCATCGACCATAACTCCAAGATATTTAACCGAAGAAGCTTGACTTAAATGGGGACATAAACAATTTGACGAGTAATCGTCTGAGTGATGGGTGTGTGCCACAAGAGACAAATTTTGAATAGCTTCTTGAGGGATCCTGACCTTAGAAATAGGCATATATTTCGTTTTTCCGATGTTAAGTGACAGGAGGTTTGCTCTAAGCCAATCAAAGACTCTATCCAAACCATACTGAGCACGTCTATAAACTTCTGGGAAGGAATCCGCGGAAAAAATCAAGGCAGTGTCATCTGCGTAGGAAATAATTTTACAATAGGGAATTACGAGAGATGACAACTCATTAATATAGACTAAGAATAGAGTTGGACCCAGTATACTGCCCTGTGGCACACCATACTCGATGCGCAAATCCGAGCTCACTACTCCATTTATCACGAGACGCTGCGTGCGATCAGTAAGATAGATGTGAAACAATGTCAACTGTTTTCCCCTTACTCCAAGGCGCTGAAGATTGTGTAATAGAATTGGAATTGAAACCGTGTCGAACGCCTTGGCAAGATCAAGGAAAACAGACAAACACTTACCTCCCTTGTCAAGAGTTATAACTGTATAGTCCATGAGGTCATGGACAGCATCAGCGGCAGATTTTTTAGCCCTAAAACCATATTGTCCTGACGATGACAGAGCTGAATTTTCAAGATAATGCATTAGACGCTTATTTAAGAGCCGCTCCAAGATTTTAGACATTGCTGGGAGAATTGATATAGGACGATAGTTATTAGGGCAGTTTTTAGGGCCAGACTTGTAGATTGGATGAACAAGTGCTTTTTTGAATGCTGTAGGAAAGATGCCAGTCCTGATAGATTGGTTACATATGTGAGTTATCATCGGAACAAGGGTATTCTTGAAACGCTTAATAAACGAAGATGAGATATCATCCCACCCAACTTTTTTTCATTTGATAAGAAAATCAAATGAAAATAACACATAAATCTTATTTGAATTTGGAATAATCTTCTTTAAAATTTATGCTTTTTAATGATACCAAGGACTTTTTGGCGGGATCGATAAGCGGCACTTTAGCAGTTTTGTTATTCTTGTTGAAAATTGTGTTTTGGCGGATGTTAGTGTCTAATAATGGTGGAATATTAACCACTAAATGTTCGGGAACATGTACAAGTGTTGGCAAGTGAAACAAAATAGCGAAAAGTGTCTTTTCACGTTCCCTCAAGATGTCCACGGGGAGGTTCCAGTAAATCCCCACACTTTTACTGAAACATAGGGAAAGGGGGATTGACTTGACTGCCACTTACTTTGACTTGATTTATTATTTTGACCACGAGTGCTATAGTATTTGTAAACATTTTAACACTTGACATTGGCTAAATACACAAACCGTGCGAAGCCATTAATAAAAAAATGAAAAGAAAATGATACCAAAACTATACTATACGTATACTCACGAGCGGGGCGGCGGGGCGGGGCGGTTCCATGAGCGCGGGCACATCAGCCACGAACACGGTCGGAGAGCAGCCTTCCGACCATCGCTCCAGGTCTATCTCGCAACTACGATACAGCAACCACACATAAATAATAAATAATATATTGATTTATACACCTGGAGCACGTGTTATATGTCAAGTGTTCTTAATTTAATGGTGGATCTGCACTTCACTTGATAACAGTCTGTTATAATCATGCTTTATAAGGAATGCAAAATTTTAATTTTAAAAGGCAAAATGATGTCAAGTTTATACATAGCAAATACGAATAGGCAAGTGAAGTGCCGGCTTGTAAGCTACTAAAGCCCAAGGTAGCTAAAGTTGTATGGAACTTCCCTTGGGTAATAATGACATTTTATTTGGAACTCCAAAATGACAACAATAGCTTCTATCAAAAACTACAGAATCCTTCATATTATATTTTAATAAAGTTAAAATGTTGGCTATTATGGAAAGCACGTTTTTATTGAAAATATCCCGCGGTTTCGGGAAATTCAAATTAAAGTGTTTACTCCGTGAGATCTAATAAAACCAGTTTGACATAAATGACAGTTGCCCTGTATGTGAATTATAAAAATATTGTGTAAAATGCGCTTTATGAATAAATAAATTTATATTTTCGTAATAACCATGCTACCATTTCTCTTACACTATTGGGATTTGGGATTAAATGGGAAATTAAAATTTTACTTTAAATAAATATACATCCGATATACGTGGACGGTCTAGGTTGTGCTGGCATAGTCACAAACCACATATGATGAAATGTTACAACAGGGTATTTAACAATATTTAGAAAACGATCTCACATCATTTACTAATGTTTACGTAGTATGTACATAAAAATATTCATCATTCTGTTGAGTATTTCAGTAAAAAATTCCATTTTCAAGTTAACGCCGCGAAAACGTTTCTCTGGACATTATGACGTCTCATTAGCATGTGACGCACGATGCACGATTGTCATTAAAACGTCAAATGATATAATGTAATGTCACTTTGACCGGAAGTTTCTAGCGTGTGTCGTCATTTAAATCTTTACCAATCCCAGGCATTTTCGGTCACGTGACCACAGAACAGCAAAATTATTTATATTTAATGTTTTTTTACAAAAGTTATTACTTGTGTGTTCTCTCAGAATAGTAAAATCGCTGCTAATATTCATATTAAATACAGATGCCAACAATGGGTACTTTATTTTTGATATTGTCAAAGACCCTATTGTAGACGCCCTGGCGTCGAACTATACTGCGAGGTGAGGTATCAGGAAAAGTTTCGGCGCTATGGTACTGAAGCGTGTGTGAATGTCAATGTAATTTTTTTAAATTAATAATACTACGCATCCATCAGTGTAAATTGTAGCTATCTGATGAGCAAGCCATTGGCGCGGAAAGGATTTAAAAAGCAGAATGTTATTAAGACATTGCATGTTTTAATGTTGGCAATAAGCTGTTCCAGCATCTTTAATAGCGGTTGTTAAAGCATGGGTGGGTGTAGATAAAATAATTAAGGTATATGCAGTTACCCCATGTCCGGCAGGTGCGCCAGGTCGTGCAGGTGTAGTGTGGGCGCGGGCGCGTGCATGGCGCTGATGCTGGCCGGCATCTGGAACAGCTGCGGCTCCAGCGGCAGCTCGCGGCACTGGCCAATTAGACACCGCCCCGTTATAGTTACGATGATGACTAGTTAGCTAGCCTATTGGCCGAAATTACGACCTTTTTACGCCTTTAGCACAATGACACGGCGAATCGCGATAGCGAAACTGCGACAATCTGTCAAATAATATGCAACAAAGGAAATCACAGACAGACATATCGTGATGCAACATACGCGATGACAGATTGCCGCAGCTTCGTGATCTTAGATGCGGGATAAACAGAAAAGATGAAAGCCGCAGACGGGGCACGCGTCCTTTACATACAAAACGTACAGAAGCGTCGCGTTGCGAATAATTCAAAAGAAAGGGCGCGGAAACTACGCTAAATTTTGTATGAAACTAAAATGGCCTCGCCCCATCTGCAGCTTACGTCTTTAAGCCACGTCAATGTGCTATAGGCGTTAATTTTTCAGACAAAGATATTTTTTCATAAACATTGAGAATGGACTTAGCAATACCTGCACGCAATTAAATACTCTACAGAAAGAGAGAAAGCGATAACCAGCGATCAACGAGCAGAAAATTGTAAAAAGGCGAAGCAGTCGTGAGGCCAGTAGTTCGCGTTTGAATTTATCTAACGGACAAAGAATACTCAGTCCATTCCCTCAGTATGTCTAACAATTCTAAAAGATCTTTATAATAGATTATTATCCAGAGCACCCTCACTTAGGTCCGTATTACTCAATTTTTGTTTGTGATGTTATGTTTAAAATCGAAACCGCCAAAGTTGGGGCCGAGCGGAAAGGGTGAGCCGCATCACGGAACACACGACGTCACACGTTATGCGGTAATACTACCTAAGCTTGGCACAGGGGGTGCCCTTGTATGAGGCCGATAGGGGGCCCGAAGGGGTTTTCTGTTATTATTATATAAAAAAATGTCTCTGAATTCAAACTGCACATAAACATAAATTTAAGGAGCCGAAAGATTCTCCTTCAAGTACTAATAAAAAATACTAGACTCGTCAGCATGGATTTTAAGACCCAGAAATTGTCTATCCCTTGTACGCGATCGCTAGTGGGGGTGGCTTTTAAAGCTACGCCAGGAGGCTTCATAATAAGAAAAACCAGCAAGAAACTCAGCAATTCATAAGGGCTTTGCTCTTGTGAATTTAAATGTCTGTGTTCAATCAAACTCAAAATGTAGCTTTTCCTTCGCCGCACGCCGCCACATTGACGAATAAGAAAATTTCGAACAAGATTTGAGTAATGCGGATTCTAGTGGGTGTACTCTCTGTATAATTACGATTCAATCTTGAAGAATGGCAGTTGTAAAGTTAGCGATGGGCGCAACTTCGCGCATGTTTCATTTCCCAGACATCCCGCGTGCGTCTACATAACCTACGAAACACTCATTCTAACCTAGGCGAAAAAATTATCTTCCTTCAGTTTCAGTTCTTGAAAACCACTTGCGAACTGGTCAAATTCGTTGCGTGTTTCTATTAAAGGATGAATCCAGTATATTTTTTGCTGACCGCAATGGCGGCCAATCGCGAAGAAACCGGGATGAAACTGCGTTAAGCGGTTGGACTGCTGATACGAACCGCCTAGGCGGAGAATCGCAATCGGGCACAAACCTTAAAATTTAATAAAAATATATCCTTGTCTTGCTATATATCGAATGAAAAGGTCAAATTTAGTTCTTACCTAAGTTTAGAGAATCATGCTTGTTCAATGTGGTACCTTATATTAAATGCTTTCTCATTTGTCACATAGATGGAACTGTATTAATTTCGACTCACGGTATGGTTTAGTTCTATGGAGAAGTATACACAAAGCTCGACATAGATGGCGCTGCAAACGCTTGACCCAAACCACAGCCGAGTATTGCAGCTGTCAAATTTTGAAGGTGTTTTTTTATTGTTAAATATATTAAATAAGTGGTGAATTGTATTCAACATGGTCTGCAATATAGCTGAAAACAGAGTTGAAAAGGAAAGGAGCATCTATGCAAGGCGGAAAAGCTGATCTAGTACAAAGGTACTCTTTCTATTATTATGCTATAATGCTCATTCTCGGTACATAGATGCATTTTCCATGATTATTTTAATAATTCATGGAACTCAGTAACTTTTAGCGTCTCATTAGTCAAATCTATCTTATTTTTGCATCACTCAGACATCTCATAGAGTTAGGTTACCTCGGGCTAAAATGGGAAATATAACATTGGGTTTTTTTACAGTCTTGAGGCATAAGACCGCAATTTTAATTTTGGTGCAGTTTGTTCTGCTCAAATTGAAAAAAATTCAGATGCAATTACCTGCCCCAGATACATACCATGATGTAAACAGCAGCTCAGTTTTACCGCCCCTTTCAAAGAAACATATAAAATTATATTTTAGTCGGTAAGAAAACTTTCTTACAACAACCAAGAACTGCAAAATGCGGCATTTGTAATTTGTTTAATAAAAAGCTTAAAAATTAATATAAGCTAATAGGTATGTATTTGATAGAAGTTTTGGGTCAAGCGATTACAGCGCCCCTAGTGACCAAATTTTGTCCATTGAGACATATACCCCCTTATTAATAAACGAATACCACGCATGGATTAGTTACTCCATATTTTGTCTCCTTCCATTGAATGACAAAAGGCATTCGAGTAACATGAACAAAAGACGGCGTAACTAGTCCAAGCTTATTCCTCGTTTATTAATAAGGGGGCTAGAGTTTAAATAATTTCGAAATAAATTGTCTATACGTTCCGGAATCTAATTTTATTTATAGCTGCTACATTTCTGGAGGACCTTAGTACAATGCCAGAATTAGTGCTATTGGTACGAGACTCACGGATAGTAGCATGCGGTGGATGGCCACCAGGTGTTGTTTGACGAAGGGCGGTGTGGGGCTGCAGCAGGCGGCGACTCCCTGCACGTCGCGCGGCAAAGATTCCGCCAACGAGAGCAGCATATGGTTCGGCAATAGATACCTGACGCGAAACATGTGCCATAAACTTCAAAGGCAGAAACGGTCTTATGAAACGCGGCGTCACACGACGCCACGTCACGCGTGTTGACTCAAATCAAATGTACTATTTTCTACTAGCGGCCGCCCGCGACTTCTTACGCGTGGAGTTAGTTAGAAATAAAGGTTAACTGCTCGTTCCACGTAGGTGATAGCTTGATAATATGTAGCCTATATGTTCACCCGACTTTTAATAATATTCGTGCCAAATTTGAAATAAATCCATGCAGTACTTTTTGAGTTTATCCCGGACATACATTCAAATAAACAGACAAATTCTAAAAACTATTTTTGGCTTCGGTGTCGATTGTAGATCGCACCCCAAGTATTCTTTTAACCATCAATCCATCAACCATTTTATTATATGTATAGATAATCAGAACCACATTAGGAACATCCGACGCGACACTGATCTAAGAAAATACGAGGGGCGTGGCATGGCGTCGCGTTTCACAAGTCTGCTTCTGCGTTAATATCTTCGAAATGCAATTCACACGGCTATTCGTATTTGCTATTTGTTATTTTGACAGCAGGCTGTCCTGTCATACTCTATAGGAAAAGAAAGCAGAGACTGTTGACATGTTTATAAATAGCAAAGTACGAATTTCAGAAAAAGAAATAAAGTATGGAAGAAGTTTAATTTAACACATAAAATGGACTTATATACACTCGACTGCAAATAAACTGGGCCAGCTTTGGAACTTTAATTCGATTTCTTCAAAAGTATAAAATTTACAACTATTAATCTATATCTACAGAAAGTGTGTTTCATAATTATTAATATGAGTAAAAATTTATTCTAAAGTACTGTCAACTTACTTTGCAATCGAGCAAGAAGAGCAATGCTAACAATTTGCTAATTTTTGAATAAAGTCGCGATTATCGTTCTTTTTTATAAAATGAAGATAGTCTGAAACTTCTTGTCATTTCCTTAGTTTTTTCCATCGTTTTCTCAGACGTGAGTATTTTTGCTTCTTTCGTTACTTCCGAATACCACAATTGGAAAACGATAATTTTCCTTGGCTTTTTTTAAATATAATTAATTGATTAATCTCAATAAATTCTAGTTCATTTTAATCACTACGAAACGCACTTTCTGTACTTATAATTTTGATAGTTGTAAGTTTTATACTTTTTGAGAAAATCAAATCAGAGTTCCGTGGTAGCAAATGGCCCAGTTTATTTGCAGTCGAGTGTAGTTACCCTATTATTACATATAGACCAGAGAAAAGAAATATAATGTTGTTATGAACAGCGAGCGTTCCACTATATAAACGTTAAATTGGATATATTTGGCCTTTATACATCTAAGTTCCTTTTGCGATACCAAATCAATAAGTGATCTAATGTCAAATACAACTTGCCAACACGCCACTAATACTTTTGGGTTGGGTAATACGTATAGTCTATGCGGAAGTGTACGCTCAAACGTCATTGCTATACTTCTATGCTTTAGTTCCTGTTCTGAGAGGTTGTCCTTGTCATACTTTATAGAGAATGAAAATAGCAAGTACAAATAGTTATGTTAAAGCGCCGGCATAATATTACATTCGGCATATCCCCAACATTAGGAGGCCGATGATGATATTAAAAGATCAAGTGCAAATCATTCGGAAAATGCACCCGTTTTCCATAGTAGGGGCGACATTAAAGGCCGAGAGATGATGACAATTTCTAAGTTAAATTATTACTAACAAACTATGGATATGTTCTGAAAGTAAAATGATATTATTATATTGGTTCAGCCACAGGTCCATGGGGACCCGGTCCTTTCATGGGGCTTAAGCCAAGAAGTGGCCTTTTAGTACCCTTTTATCTAAAAAAAAAAGAGATGGCTGCATTTATTGAGGTATATTGCTTAATGTACAATTGTGATACAATAACGGACTGTCCTCCATAGCTGCCGAACTATTGCCAGGCAGGGATTCACTAGGATTCACAGAAATAAGAGAGAAGGACCTTGTCGACGGGGCAGGCGCGCCTCAATTATATGTGAGCAAGTGCTCGGAACTTGACTAAAACTTGTTTCTGATTGCGTCCTTGCTCCCGGGTGTGAGCGCTGATTGGTCCAATTGTTTGATATCGCGTCGTTCGAGCCGGCGACATCGGTTTCCATACAAACGGTCTATGATCAGCCTTCTTACCTTCTCTCTGTGTTCTGTGGATGGTATTGTTATTCTAATAAGACTCACGTACTGCTTTTCTCTAGCTCGCGCCAAGTATACAGCAGTCTGAGAGCTGGCGACTGTTAAAGCTCTTCGCATGTACAGTAACATGTGGGTAATGTGCCTTATTGCTGTCAGTTACACGTTGTATATGGATAAGTGTGAATCATTCGTAAAATATACCCGCTTTCCACGTTTTCACGTTGATCAATGGTGATATTTCACGATCAAGTGCACAAAATTCGGAAAATCCAAACGATTTCCACAGCAATAGCGACACTAACCCCCTTACTACAAAACGCGAAATATTGTGACTCTTGGTTTAAACCTAATGTTGTCTTTGTATTCTTTTTAGCGAACAAAAGTGACAGCATGAGTTTTAGTCCAAGAGGTCTACCGCTTATCGGGATTGCTATAGCTATAGCTTATGGTTTAGTTTCGTTATATCTGACCGTCAAGGGTTTTCAAATACCGTGCGTTGTTTTTCCTTTGCATTGGTAATAACAATAGCAAAAAAAAAATGAGAATGAAGATTTTAAAATCCTTCGGCGGTCATAAATAACAAAATGAAATCTAATCTAATTTGACGACCTCCGTGACCTAGTGGTTTGTCACCTTGTTTCGTGGTGTCGCCGATTCGAGAGGTCCCGCGTTCAAATCCCGGAGGGGGCAGATGTTTGTGTGATGAATACGAGCGTTCGTACTCCAGTCATGGATGTAAATATGTATTTCTAAATATACTTACATATGTACAGTATATGTATTCTATCCGTTACCCTAGTATCCTATAACACTAGCCTTATAGTGCTTACTTTGGGGCTAGGCTGGAAGTTTGAAAGAGAAAGAGTGTTGGAAATATTTATTTATTCATTCATTTATTAAATCATAAGCTATAGCAACAGCAATTCCGTTAGGCGGTGAGGGCCAAACTTAACTATAGTCTACGTTTTGTAGTAAGGCCGACGACGACGGCAACAATCATAGAGGTATAAGAATAGACCCCTACTCTATTAGATATAGATATAGACTCTACTACAAGTGGAATGTCCCTCTAATAGACAGAGAAAGAAGATGAGAGACCGCTAGCTTTCTCTCTCTATTCGCGCATGCGCATTGGCATCCGTAAGCATCTTACTATTTCGATGTGGTGCTTGGACCAACTATTTGACAGACAACTGCGCATGCGTCACAAGAGAGATAGCTAGCAGTTTCTCATCTTCTCTCTCTTTCTACTAGACCGACACTTTTAGAGCCGCCTTCCCCACTCTATTCTTATACCGCTATGGCAACAATACTCACGTAGTGCTTTCGTCTAGCTCGCGCGCGTGTTGGTCCCGCCAAGTGTAGAGCAGCTTGAGCGCCGCCAGCTGGCGACTGTTGAAGCTCTTCCTAGAGCGCACGTACAGCGGCATGTGGCTATCGGCACGCACCACTTCCTTGTTGTACGTCTACACGACATAACAAAATTCAATATTTGATGTGTAACATCTTTCCTCTCGCTTGCGTGGGAATTTGAGGGAGTGATTACGTGAAGTGGGACGGAAGTGTGTAACAGGAGTTTGGGAAGCGCGCGCTATTTGATTTGATTTTAGAACATAATGTTCAAATGGATCATTGTTTTTGTAGTAGGTTTTATTTCTTTTTTTACTAATATAAGGTGAGGTTTCAAATATTACACATCAAACGCGACTACTGTAAGGCTCGCTCGTTTTTTATATACCTACTAGTGGCCCGCCTTCGCTTCGCTTCGGTGTAGACTAAAATGACTCTTCATATAATTGTAAACCTTCAGTGAAAATGAGATATACTTACTAATATTAGCTGGAGGGATTTTTTTTTGTTTTTTGGTTGAACGCGCTAGTATCCTAAAATTCTGGTCCGATTTGATTTTATTTATGCTACCTTTATAACATCGCGTCAGGATCAGTAGGATTGGAGGATCAATGAAAAATGTTGCACAAAGAGGTAAAAATACTCGATTTATGAGCTTCCGTAGCGTGCGCTTGGAAAACGGTTAAAGTTACACAAAGATCATGTATTACGGAATTAAGACGACCTCCGTGACCGAGTGGTTTGTACGCCGGGTTTCATGGTGTCGCCGACTCGAGAGGTCCCGGGTTCAAATCCCGTTGTTGGCAGATGTTTGTGTGATGAACACGAGCATTTGTACTCCAGTCATGGATGTTTAATATGTATTTCTGTTTAAATATACTCATAAATGAAATCTGAGAAAAACAAAAAAATACATCCGGACCGCGATTATCATAAGCCGGGTCTTCAGCAAACAGTTTATCACCAAAAGCAATTACACATAACTTTGTTTCTCTACACATGCCGTCTACTGCTCACGTGCCTGTCGTACACAAAATACGCAGGGCTACGTTCAAAAATTACGATCCAGGTGCTACAAATGTTAAATTCGTCAAAAGTTTTGTACATTTTATGTCAAAAATTAAACATCAGAGTGCAATATCCATGTGCTACAAATGTCAAATTAGTCAAAAGATCTGTACATTTTATGTCAAAAATGAAACGTCAGAGTGCAATATTGTACTCTGAGCGTAGGTTTGGAACTGAGCCCCCGCTAGCGAGTTCTCAAAAAATGGTCGATGAAACAATAACCCGCCCTCGACATCCTCGAGAGATTTGTGTACATGTTTTCCATCGGGCTCGGAAAGCAAAAACGTCAACATGTTTTTGCAAACAAATATGTGTAGTGAAACAAAGTTGTGTGTAGTCGATTTTGTGGAATGTTCAAATGTTTTTGTTGATTGTGTAGGGCAAAACACGCGCTGGAAACCTGGCTTTAGGATCAACTATATTTAAACAGTGGCGGACTAAGCCCGTTAGAGGCCCGGGGCGGCAAAGCTGAATGAGGCTTTAAAAAAATATAGTTTCTTATGTTTGTTTCGTTGAAATCTAGCAAGTGAAATTTAAATTCGAATTAAATTATTTCGGCTAAATAAACAGACATACCTAAAATATGGTACATATTGACTAGAAACGTAGGTGCATATTGACTAGAAACTACGGATTATAATTTGTAGGCTAAATTATTCGAAGAATTAGGTACTTACTTTTTCCATAAACTCGAAAATGCATTTTCTCAACTCTAAATTCAATTACTTTTATACCGTAACAAACTATTATTGAAGTTAATTATTATTATGTGAATTATTTGCACTCATTCATTCAGGGATTCCTGAGGAAGTATCCGCTACAAAAACGGGAATCCCTCCAGCGTATTGGACGCGTTCAGTTAAAAGAATATTTGTACCGCGTAAAAAGACTAGATGGCTGTAGTGTTTTGATCTTGATGAAATTATATCTACATACTACTAAGTACACTTTTAAAGTCTTGTTTAGCATTTGATCAGGGGAACGCGGAGGCATTTGGGGGCCCCCAAGATCGGAGGCCCGGGGCGGGCCGCCCCTTCCGCCCCCCTGTTAGTCCGCCACTGTATTTAAACCATATAGTATGGCGTGTAAATAGCCATCCACTGGAATGCGGGTTTATATATGTATGCGGCGGGCGAATTATTACGTATGAGCTGCCTAGACACAAAGAAACATCAACACAATGAACCAAGTGGAAATTGAATCCGCGCAATGTCACCAACGACCCACCTGGATGTCTCTCTGCCTCCTTATCGGGCTTGCTGGCGCGGGCACAGCCGATGCAGCTCCTTCTTTCTTCTTCTGGATGCGGTTGCAATCTTCTACGCGATTTTCGAGATAATTACGCGCTGCGTTTCACTTTATTTGCGTACGACCTATCTGCACGGAATCTAACACAGCAGAGAGCGGCCGTTGGAAAATGACGAGCCAACGACCGTTATTAAGTTCGCGTACCCGCGCATAACAATATTCGCAGTACCCACATATCTGCCATCTGGACAGGTTCGCAGATCGAACACTAGGTGGCGTCAGCGAGCTTATTGCAAATTCAAAAGCCAAATGCGAACATTGTTGATGTAAAAAATTCACACATAATAAAACGCCCAACCACCATACGTAGATACAACATCACGAACAAAAACGTGGCTGAAACTTGTTAAAAAGGTACATTGAAGATCCGTGGGAAGATCGCGTAGCCAAAAACAGTGAGTGTTGTACCAATATGATATGTCTGAGTGTTTTATTTGTAGACATAATATGAATCCGATTTTTATATCTGCAGTCGGATGTTTCAAAGTTATGTATCTGTAAACAGATGTGTCTAAGTGTTTTTCTTGTAAAAAAATATGTTTTAGTTTTGTGTTTGTAAACATCACAGATATACAATCTTGGTCTGTGTATAGCCCCCGTTTCCAACCTACATGATCACTAATCATAATCAAAATCATTTATTCAGTTTAGGCTGTTACAAGCACTGATGAATGTCTAGAAGCTACGCCATCGGGTCGAAAATCTACGGCGGGAGACCTTGTACTGAGAAGAACCGGCAAGAAACTCAGCAAGGGCTGTTTTTTTCTCCCTGTTTTATTATTTACAGAGTCGTCAAATTGAAAAATGACTTCAGAGGTGATTCATGAAGTCACTTTTCATTACATAATTATTAAATATACATGAATTGTTTACCTGCATTTTGATTGCTGTGTCATACAGTATAAATACAAATAGTGTTATTTATATTCAGTGTGACTAAACATTAACTTCAATATTAAGGAAGTTAGGGCAGACTCATCTCCGCTGGCAGCACCCGTTCACGAGCATGACGCATGAACCAGCCATCGCTTCGCTCAACCATATTTTAGGGACGTAACGACCCGCCTCACACGACACCGCCGAAGAGACTATTATGAGAGCATGACTACCCATAACTACCCATACTAACTACAACATATTTACTTAAATTAAGGTCATTTACCTGTAAGACACAACAAACAATTACAAAAACAAAGCAAAGGAGAAATCACTACCACGCCGTTTTGTCAATCAAATATTCTTAAACAGTCTGTTAATCTTCCTTAAGTTATCAACTTTATATACAGCTTTCAATTTAATTATAGTATTGTCAACACATAATTCATAATTTAAATCATATAGAAATACCCGTTGGAATGGTTGGAACAGTTCATACCCAAGCATTTTTGTCTGTAATATAATCAGAGTCTTTATAATATGCTTTCTTAACTAGTGATTTTTTAATGGTCGATTTAAATTTAGTCATGCTTAATTCTTGAATATTGCTTGGAACTTTATTGTAAAAGCGAACACTAAGACCTCTAAACGAATTATTGATTTTATGGAGCCTAGTAGCAGGTAAAGTTAAGTTATTGTTATTTCTAGTATTATGTGTATGTAAATCACTATTTTTTAGTAAACAAATTAATATTTTTTTTTACAAATACTAAGTTGTCATATATGTATTGTGATGCAACTGTCAATATACCTATTTCTTTAAACTTATCTCTTAATGAATCCTTAACTTTAAGATTATAAATTGATCGAATAGCCCTCTTCTGCAGCACAAATATAGTTTGAATGTCGGCGGCATTTCCCCACAGTAAAATACCGTAAGACATTACACTATGAAAATAACTAAAGTAAACTAATCTGGCAGTTTCTATATACGTTAACTGCCGTATTTTCATTACAGCATATGCTGCAGAACTAAGTCTCTTCGACAATCCATCAATATGTGGGCCCCACTGCAGCTTAGAATCCAGTGTGATTCCTAAGAACACTGTGATATCTACAGAGCTCATATGTCGATCCTTTATATTTACATTAGTTTTTACCTGTTTGACATTAGGTAATACAAAGGAGAATGGGCAAATCCGCCTAGATTGCGCTTGACGCATTTATGTATCAAAAATCTTCTTCTGAATTATCATTTCATATGTGTGTTTATTAAATATTATGCGGATATCTAAAATAATAAATAAATGGCTATTAAACTGAGTAAATAACCAATAACCATAGATAAAAGTTGTATCACCTGGTCGATACTATCGTAGGAAAAAAATCGATTATATTTCTTTATTTAAATATTCTTAACATAAAAAAACGAGTGTGCTTATGACTACACAACTGAAGTGAAACTTCTTTCATTTACTAGCTGTAAGAGAAAAAGAGAAACAAAATGCGTGCGCGCGCTCTTGCTCCTACACTGTGATACAGACAATAGGCTTGCACTGTGCTTAGATATACGGAACGTATTTGGCTATGAGAGGAAGAGAGAAAGAAAATGTGCACGCGCACTGCTTTCTCATGCTTACATCCCCCACTCAACTCCCGTTCGCCTCGCCCGATCACACTATTCTTAACGCTTACGTTCGCTAGCTTACTCCCCAAGTCAAGAATGCGTAAAGAAGTTTCACTTCAAAAAGAAAAAATAAAACGTTTATTCTAATTGAAAGCATAGAACAATTGTAAATAGCCTGAAACATTTTTACCAAACACCGTAAATGACTACGAAATAATGATCATTCGTTAATTCGTA